AAAAAAACCAAACAAGCCAGCAAACTCAACCCTCCAAAAAAAAAAAAAATGCTCAGAACAAGTTAAACCTGATTATTGCTTTAGTACTTGGGTCTTCTGTTAGCTCCTAATATTGAACTGGTAGAAGAAATCTTTAAAATCCATAGATTAGTGATCTTAAGAGGTTTCAGTTCTTTTTCACTCTCAAGTAATTGATCAGATTTGTCGCTGAAAAATAGTATCTTTGAAACGGCACCTCCATATACAGATGTACTTTGCTGCAGTGTGGGATGTGAGAAGTATACGGAAATATGATATCCTGCCTGTTTTTAACTTCACGTGTTTGAACACTGAGGTTTTGGGGGAAATGGGTACATTCAACTCCTGGGGAGTTCCTCAGACGCTGTATTACAGGCGTGTCCAGAGAAAGACGACTTTGCCGAGCAGCTAATGCTAGTTTCTGCTAAGCTCAGAAGGGTGTCCCTATCCCCCCTCGTGTTTAGAGCGTACTTTCCTCTCGTCATAGTTCAGTCATGGTTGCCGATCTAACTAGTGAAAGTCACTTCTCCTTCTTGCTTTTGTTAGCTCTTCTTAAACTCTGCAGTTCCGTGAGAGGTGTAAATAACGTTCAATATGATGTACCACTAGTAGCGCTCCTTTTAAAAATTTGTTTTTACAGAATTTACACAGCTTTGTAGGCATAATTCTTTTTGAAACAGTAGGAGACTGCTTTTACAGTGCAATTTTTAATTTAGTCTTTCTTTTTGAGCGTAATGAGTTTAAAAATACATTAAAAAAATGCAGCTTGTCTGTCTCTTTCCAAGATAAATTGGAGAGAAACAGTAGAACTGGATGTGGGACTGTAAAGCTTTCTCCTCCTTCTCTCTCTGCCACCTGTTCTTTTTGAGACTATTTTAGTGTAAAATTTCCTAGGTGTTATTTGGTTACTTAAAATTTTCTGGCAGAAAAAATCCTCAGATGTTAATTTTTTTTTAATGTTTTGTTAGCACAGAATGATGTTTTGTTGAATGATGATGAATAATGTTTTGTTAGCACTTTATTTTATATATAAAATAAAGTTTGGTTACAAAAATAGCAAATTTGTAGATTATTTCTCAAGATCATAGATTTGAGTTGACTCAAATTCTTCTTTTTATTATTTGTTATTAAATCTTACCTTTTGAACATACTATCTAATTTATAAAGCAAATAATATGGGTTCACTTTTAAGACTTTGAAGATGCTTATATTTGACAGCTCACATAAAATGAAAAGTTGTGACACAGGATTCCATCAGGGTAGGTGGAAGTTTATTAAACTTAATTTTGATAGTACAGAGCATTATCTGTTATCATCCCTTTGATGATTCCCTTTGTTTGGTTATGCAGTTGGCAGTTCATTAATAATTTGCTAGAAATACTGAAAATAGAGGACTCAGCTAATTGTAAATCGTTTAGTTTTCCTAATGCATTTATGATGCTCTGAGCATATTGGTAGGAAGAAATCCAATAGTGAATAAACTTTCAGATAGTGGTAGTTCTGGAGCTCTGCTGTGTTGCTTTTCTGTCCAAGCGGTCGCTTAACAAAGTGCTTGCCAAAGTTAGATATGAGAATAGTGTGTGCATGTGTTTAACACATTGTCATGTTAACAAACATTGGTGTGATCAAGTCATTAATTTTATTTTAAATTGTGGATTTCAAACTTAAGTAAAATTTGTTTGAGCATTGCAGTGAAGAGGACTAAAGATTGCTTTTGCGTGTAGACAAGGGTTTATTTTTAATGTCAGAGCTTAAATTGGAAAACTTCTGTCCAAGCCAAAAATCTTGGTATGAGTAACAGTAAGAACAGAAAATGCTTATCCATAAAAGTGGATATCCAGAAATAGAACTGGATTTTTGCAACTTAGAAAAACTTGGGTTTTTTTTCTAAGTTTCAGCTGTGAAGCATAGAACATAATGAGTTTACTTTCTTTAAATCATATTTATGTTTTCAGTAATTTTCTACATTAAGAGATACCTCAGATATTGACTTTTATTAAGATATGAATAGTCTGTTTACTAGTTAGTCTTCACAAACATAAATAGTCTCTGTTTATAGTGAGCACGAAGTTTGTTGCAATACCATGTTATTTAATGTCATTTTCAAATGTCTTAGCATAACTCAGTTCTGAAGTCTTTGGACTAGACTGCTCAGTGAACTTTTTCTCCATCTCTTGTCACAAAAAGAAAATGTTAAGAGAAGCCACAGCATTTCCCCCAAGGCACCCTGCTGCATTTTGGACTTGGAAAATATTTAGAAATAGGTCTTTGATCCTCGCCCAGCTTTGCAGTGTATGAAAGAACTTAAATGGGAGTTCCTCATGTTTCATCTTTCAGAGTAGTTTTGCAGTCACGTGTGTTGGGTATGTGTTAGTTTGTCAGCGAGGCTCCACAGTGAAGTGGAGGACAGAGCTTCCTGGAAGCCCACCTGGGGACAGTGCCGTGGGCGCCCAGGTTCTGCATCCTGCATCAGAATGAGTCTGGTCTCTGCCTTCCTTGGTCCCGTGGTTTCTTGTGCCTCATCCCAATGCATGTGTATCCTGCCCTATACAAAAAAGATACCTGTACAGATAGTCTCATTGCCAGGGATTTCTTTTGACGATAGTGTAAGTACCTCTGGAGCTAGCTCAGGCTGGCTTTATCAGAGCCAGGCTGCAGTCTTGTTTAAAGTTGAAAAAGCTTAAGTCAACATAAATCCAAATCTTACCTTCTTGGGTGAAGCTTTTCAGTTTTCTGTTTTGTAGTGACCTGAACTGCACAGGATCTTTAATAGAAAAACTGTGATGCCCTTAAAGTGCTGCGGTCAGGTTGCCTGCGCTCAAGGGCTTCGTTATCGCAGTTAACGGAGTGTGAGAGGCAGGCCTTTGTTTCAGCCTCTAAAGCCACCAAGAAACAAGGGCAACCGCCCTCTCTGTGGGCTGGCTTCTTCTTCTTCTTCGTTTCTGGAGAAATGTGAGGACTGTCCAGCCGGGAAAACATCTTTGTCACTGTCTGTGTGTCTCTTGAGATGAGCAACCAAGCTGTTGGGCAAAGGAGGCGATAGGCAGCTAAAGGGCAAGCGTGCGTGTTCTGCCTCAATGAGAGGGCACCCCTTTGTAGGCAGGAGATGGGCACCGATATGATGGGATGCTTGAAGACAGGATGAAATCCTTCACAAGATTTTGGGGCTTTACTAGTAGGTGATATGACATTCAGTCTGAAGTTCTTCTCTGAGCTCCTTTGCTGGACCCACAATGGAATGACTCATCCTTTCTGTCTCTCTAGAAAAATTGCCATGTTTGGTGTTCCTCAGAAGGGTGGGCCTGGACCATACTCTGCACTTTCCTTTTTACATGCTTTGGATGGTGAAAGCTCTGTGCCATGTGCTCCCCAGCTCTTTCTGCCATTCGCACCCAAGAGCAGTATCAGTACCTGCCTGCTGAAGATTTGTAAATAAATTCACAGGGGAGATGAGTAAGGTTATTAAAAAAAAAAAAAAAAAGTTATTCTGAGCAAGTCATCCAAGAGGGGAGGATGAAGGGGCGCTGGCTACTAGCCCTGGAGCGTGGATGGAGTATGTGTGTGCAGGCAGAAGGGCTCACAGGTCACTTCCAGGGTCTGTGGGCGCATGAGCTCTTGCCAGGAAAGTTGGCTATTAGGAGCAATTTTGTGAACATCTTTAGTAGATACAATAAGTACAGCTTGACCTTTTTTGTCAGACAAGCAGAACAGCCTAATTGAATTTTTAGAAAGGTATGTGCTGCTGTCTGCTTCTGTAAGAATTTCAGTTTATCCAGTGAAACAAACACTAAGGGCAGCCCAGAGTCGGAATCTGTTCATCTTTCTCCTGCTGGGAATTCTGGAATAAATGATGTGCATGTGCTACCTTAACCATGCCGAGTAGATAGCATATTGCTGTGTGACTCATGTTGTTCATTGCTGTTGCCATGGCTGTGAAAGCTACCTTGTGAAATGTTTATATGAATATTTTTTGTGGAATTGAATTGCAATGATGGTGTTAACGAGTGTTTGGAATCCTTGTTTGCATCGTGAGATGTGTTAAAAGGCAATATTTTTAAAAATATTGTCTTTGGAAATCATTCTGGTTCAGGGGAAATGTTGTTCCTTAATACCTAAAGCTGTTGCTGTTCTTTTATACTACGAAGCAGAAACAAATCTGTTTAACTACAGGCACTGCCTCTACAAACTCTCAGAATTTTTTTTACTCAGTCGCAAGAATCTAATGAAAATTCTGGTAGTCTTCCTCTTTTTTTTTAATTTCCTCAATTACAAATTGTGAAATAGCCATTATGTTTTTCAATCCATTAGGAGAAATAGATACCTTCCATTTTAACACTTGTATTTTATTTATCAATGTATACCTATTTTTAACTTAGTTGTGCCTATTTAGCAGCATTTACATAAGGTATTAATTTGTGAGAAGAAAACAAAATCTTTTCTCTCATATCTTTTCTTACCTAAGGTTAGTATAATTGTGTCATCCTCCTGGATTATAACTTAAAAAACAGGTAAACTTTCTTGTTTCTCAAGATGATAATGAAAGGGTGTTTATCAGCCAGTCCCAGTTTTTAGTTTCAGTACAAATAAAATTGGTCAAGCAGGCGGTTTTGTTTTCATTAGGGTGAAATCTTTAAAAGATCTCTTTTGGTCTGTTAAAACATCAAAGTGATTTATTGCTGTAATTATTAAAATTTCTTATTCTTTGCAGCTCCAGGTTTTTATTTTTGGTGTTAATTTTGTTGTACATATTATTTTAATTTGTAACAAGCATTTTTTAATGAATGTCCTTTTGCTTTGTATTGCTTTGTCAAATCTGTTGCACTTTTCCATCATTATCTTTTATTCAAAAATTGTCAGCTAGAAATAAAACTTGTGTCATTTGTTGCTTTGGTCTTTGCATGTGTCTGGCTATGTTCAAAAACAGTACTTCAGAAAGTAATCTTTTGATTTCAAAACTAAGGTGTTACTGCTCTTCTCTGCAGAGTGCTCACTTGGCCATGATCGATACTCTGATGATGGCATATACCGTAGAGATGGTCAGCGTGGAGAAAGTGATTGCATGCACTCAGCAGTATTCATCCTTCTTCCAAGCTACGGATCTACCTTATGACATTGAAGATGCTGTCATGTACTGGATAAACAAGGTACGAGTGCAGGAAAAGCGTGCTGTGGTTTTCTTTGTAGACTATATGATTTGGTTAGAGATGAGTGGGTAGGGATATGTATGTATGTGGGTATATCAAGACCGCACCTGATGTGGATTGTTCCTTAACCTGCTGAAACTGGATATAAAAAGCAAAGTATGCAGAAATCAATTAAACATATTGGAACCAAATAAATGGGAAGTCTAAATAAAAAACAGTGTTCGTTACATATGACGTCTAACAGTCATGGTCATGTTTTGATGCCATGATGAGCTGGTTGAGGGTCTCTTATTAGCTCTGCTAAGAATTATCTTTTCCTTCTGTAATTTACCATGATTCAAAACCAGGGTGATTCTGTTTGTATTTGAGCACATCTTTCTTGAAGTGATCTGCCTTTACTGCATGGTCAAATCTAATGATACACTGTTAATCAAACATGATTGAGCATAATAAGGGTCAGGTTAGGTTGTGCAATGTAAAGCTAACAGGGGTCCCCATGTACAGGTTGAAACACTGATACCTGCTGACTGTGCTTCAGAGTTATAGATTCTGAAATTTCATTTGTTTAATATTTTCAATTAACCTGGTGGTAGTGATTTATAGACTTGTAGAAAAAGACCTGTAAGTTCTGACACTTGTTTCTTAGAATAGACCACTTAAGAAATTACTTTGTCTCTAGGTAAATGAACATTTGAAAGACATAATGGAACAGGAACAAAAACTAAAAGAACATCACAGCGCAGAGTCTGCAGGAGGTCAAAAGGTAGGTGTTTATGAAAACAAGAATTAGTATTTATCTGTAAACAAGACCTACTTGCATATAGTATGCATATGTAAATATATGTTTGCAGAAGCTTTAAACGCTTTAAACCTTTGTTAACAAAAGCAAGCTTTTAGTTTTCAGGCATATCATTATTAGTTTTATAGTTTCCATGATAACATCCTTAAAATGCAGTAGTGGTAGAGCTACACTTTTTATTTCCAGTTGTCCTTTTTGACAAATAGATTCTTGATAGCATCAAAACGTGTTATATAAGTCCTACAGAATTTATTAAGACTAAACACTCTCCAAGTGAATTCAAACTGCAGTTGGATCTAAAATGAAAAAGAAAAGCATTTTTTTAAGTATGATTTTTAGTGTTCTCCCATGTGAATTCCATATATTTAAAAAGAGATAAAGCTGTATATGGCATCATGGGAAGCATTGCTCTAATCAGACAGATTGTTTGATATCCTTTCCTAACAGGATTTTTTTTTCCCCTTCGCTCATGGAGCTCATTTAATTAAATAGTATTATAGCCATCAAAATACAGAAGGATTGCAAACAGTTCTAGAGTACATAAAATGCTTTAGTTGCTTCAGAATAAGATCATTTTTCTTACTGTGATTTACTTCTTATCGGGAGAATGGTAGTCAGTTGGGAGTACCCTCTAGTATTAACCCTGCCCTTGAATGTAGGACAGACTTCCTAGCTGCCTTAAGACTGTAATCCTAGCTCCCTTCCTCATTTGTTTTTCTGTAAGGAGCAACCTCCCTTTCAATGCTACTTTGAAAGAGCCTGGCTAGATTAAATGTTCAGCTTCAAAACGCGTGGATGCAGTGGATGTCCCTGTACTTGTGGTTTCTTTCTAAACATAAGGAATGATTAAAGCTAATTAGTAAGTATGTGACTCAGCAAAAGGAAATTTGATTTTTTTTTTTTTACAATAAAAATCATGAAGCCTTGATGCATATATCCTAATATGAAAAATTGTATCTGGGTTTAGTAATGGCAACGAAAGAAAGAGAACCTCATTATCTTTACATGGATATCTGGAGAATAAGCTCGCCGAAGTAAACAGAACAAAGAAACAAACCAAAAGGATAACCTATTGCTCTTGTATCAATCACTGAAAGACTTTTGAGTCTGTAGCTGATGCCGTAGATGGACTTAATGGAATAAACATTTTGCACTAACTTGTTATATGCATTTGTGAGGGAGGTTTTCCATCTGAGGTATGGAAGAATCTGTGATACAGTCAGAGCCCTGTTCTGCTGGCCAATGTAAAACTGTATTTCTAAAAGAACAAGATCATGCTACACTTGTCCTATCATGGAAGATTTTGTAAGGTCTTCTATACACTGAATTTTATATTATGTTATCCCAGGCACAAGTAACATTATTTGCCTCAGTGTGGCTTTCAGCTACATAAATCACGTTGTCAAGTAAGGTATCCCATGTTAGGGGGTTATATTAGCTTCATCCATCAGCTAAAATCTCAGGCTCCAGTTTGCCCCTAGAAGTCTCTTCTGCCACTAAGAGTTTACGGAGGATTATGGCAAAAAAATGACTATTAAAAAGTTAATCATCCTTTACATACAAGTGTATGAGAAAAATGAGGATGGAATTAACTGGAAAATGAATCAAAATGAGTAATACACCAACGTTTCAGTGAATACAATGATAAATGGAATCTCCTTTTAGAAAATAAATCTAGCCTCTGAACTACTCAGTTAGCTCTGGTTTTAAGTGATAAAGAATTTGAATCACTGCACTTTTTTTTTTTTTTTAACATGCAGGAGGATAATGACATATTTTGAACTCATTTCAAATTTTTTCTATTTCAGATTGTTTTATTCCAGTTCTTTCTTTGAGAAACATGGGTCTGTTTAATTGTAGCTTGCCCACTGTGTTGAAATCTGAGCCATTCTTGGTTCATCTTATACCTCACAATTCCAGATTTTCACTTATTTTTGCTAATGCTAATAGTGCTTGCACACATACGCACAACTGAGATTTAGAAATTTATTAAATACCATGACTAAAATCCTATTTATCAACAGTGGACCATACTGAATGCTTGTTACCAAAGAAAACTATAATGCAGATCCTCTTTTAATCAAGTTCAGAGTTTCTAACATGGGTTTTCTGTTAAGTTATGATGGTGCTCCTATCAAATATTTGCTAGTATCTATTTTCAGACGTTAGTGTTTTACCCGGATATCTGTCTCCATACTCAATCTATTCATGCATTTCTTTCTTTATAACACAGAATCAGTGATGTGTCCAGTTGCTTTATGGTATTGATTTTACCTAGTATGTCTCAACAGAGTTGCGAAATATTGTAGCTATATTCTTGTATCAGATTGTGGTATTGCTGAAATACGTGTATAATTTCAGCTCTAAGTACTAACTAATTAGTACAATTGTATTCCCTCTTTTTTCATTCCAGGCTGTGCCTGTATTTAGTTATTGATATCAGGAGATTTTTTTGTTCTCTAAATTAAAAAAAAAAAAAGTTGGATTCTGCTGTTTTTATTAACCAAAGCAATCTTATTACAGACTTTTCCATTACCTGAAAAAATTAAATAATATTTGCTAAATAAGCAGTGAACAGCCTACTTCTGTATTAGTGAAGGGACTTACACTTCTGTTAAGGCACAAAAGTGAGTGGCCCAGTTTTCAAAAATGCTGACACAGACTTGAGAGAACTTGATTTTTATCAATTTGAAAGTAGAGCCATCTATTTATTTATTGAAGTTTATATATTTGAGTTTTAGGGCTTACACTACAGTTCTAGCTTAATTCTTACTGCCTGAAGTAAATGGCTTCAATTTCTTTCTTAGATGCTTTTATATCTCTTTTAACAATTGCTTCTACCTGTATTTTAAAACTTAGCGTATAGGGGAACTGGAATATTCCATTGTGCCTCTTCTCTGTCTTCCACCAATCTTTTTCAGATTGGGGATCTGTTTTATAATTTAGATTTTCCATGTTACCCGCATGGTTAGAAATTCAAAAAGCGGCGATTCAATTCAAAAGCTTTAGAAGTTGTGGAATTTCTCTTCTGCTCTGGCCAGACACCTTAGGACATTTGAGTTTCAGAGCTTCTAAGCTGTGGTCAGGTCTTGAACTTGAACTAAATTTAAATCAAGAATGTCTCTTGTGCTGATTTAGGGAGATAACCAAACAAAGATGGGAAGAACAACACATCATTCTAGAGGTTGGGGAAAGCTTTTCATTAACTTTAGTTTCTGGCCAAGAAGCAGCAAATAAATTCATAAATTTCAGTTGTGAAAAATAAAACACTGAGCATAATCCTCAAACCTGCCAAATTAATGCCATACTATATTGTTATAAAGCTGCTGTGAGCCTTTATGCAATGAATAGTAAACCTCTGTATTTCTAGAAATTGTAACCATCGTGTGCACAGATTAACAAATGATGCAACTGATGTGATTGTACCTATTGTCTGTTTTTGGATAGATTAAAACCGGTGCAGTATTAACCGATTACGAGATTGCTTTTCTTTCCCTTCACTTTCTGCTGCTAGCTTCCTGTAGAAGATAAGACAGAGGAAGGAGTATGTATGGTTTTTAGCTCCAGGTGGTAGTCCTCTGTGGATCTTGATCTGCTGGTGGTTTGTGGTAACCTCATCTTTTTCTGGTAGAGTCTCTGCATCTTCTTTCAGAATTAGGATTTCGAGTTTTGTAGTGATTAGCTTTGGTTTTCAGGCTTCAATTGAATAATATGTAGTAAATGTACAGTTGCACTGATTAAACTAATGATTGATGTAGTTGAAGCTTTCTCAAAATTCAGTTTTTCACCTGCTTTTGTGATTTAGACTGAATCATTCCTAATGGTTTTGAGCCAAATCAATGCAAATCCCGCCAGAGAAACAAACATAAGAATGTTCACCGGAAGGACTGAACTCTTTAAACATTTTTTTAAAATTAGTTTAAACAATGCAACTTTGTGTGTGAAAGTAAAACACTAATGCCATAGTTCCACAATCAATTTAATATGAGATAAGTCCACACTGCTATCAAAAGCTAACTGGAGGAAGAAAAAAGTTTGCAGCAGGAACAGCTTCCTGATCCAATTAAAGCACAGCTGCATGAATACTAATGACAGTGCAAGGAAGAGGGCAGAAACAAGTATTTAATGAAGGGCATGACCACCAGTTTTTGGTACCAGGATGAATTTATGCTGGGTTAAATTTGTAATAGAATCATATTGAAAATTTTTTATCAAAGGAGATTAAGCAATCTTTTTCTAAGCCTGTAAACCCTCCACCTGAGGGACCGGGATTCTTTTAAACATTGGGAGGAGAAAGCAGTCAGGATATCTTTTTAGGTTCATTTTTTTAATTACTAACCGATTTCATTATTTTTAATAAGCATCAGAAATGTTGGTTTGTTGCTGTCGATACAGAATGCCACATCCACAGCCATTGGATTCCCGTTATGTTGTGTGAGAGATTTCAGCTTTTCTTCATCCTTTCCTTGAACTATCTTTACAAAGCACGTGCTGGAATCTATTTATAAATGTTGTAGTCCATCTGAATTTAAAACTGATTACCCTCAGTCTTTCAGCTTATTGAAGAACGTTGATTGTCAGCCTAGCGATCGTTTCGGCCGAGTGGACAAATGAAAATGCAACACCAGATTGCTAGTTAGTTCCGAGCTCAGTTTGTACCTTTAGGCAGAGCTAATCTCTGAAATTGAAACAAATGTGGGGAGGCTCTTCTGAAGAGTAGGTCTTCAGCCTGTCTTTCTGTAGATACTGAGCGATCTTTTTAATGCAGACCGGTCTGACAAGAGGAACTCTGAAGTACATTTCAACTTGCTAAATCAAATAAAAATGTTCCTATCAAGGTTATGTAAAATTATAGCCAGCCCGGATCTGATCTCTGTCCATTTACACAAAAAAACTCTGGTTTATAATATGGCTCAGAACTCCCGATTACAATTAAAAATCATTGTTTTTCAAATTCCTGTGCTTTCCTACTTTTGGCTAGAATTCAATGCGGTGAAGAGAAACTGAGCCCTGCGGGAAGTGCTTCAATTAGCCACTGAACACCTAGAGCGTGCACCTCGCAGGTGCCTTCTGCAGCGTGCTTTGGGGATTCTCCACTCTAGTAGCCCGATCCAGTGGAGGGAGAGGATGTTGAGAATAGTCCTGTTGCTAATGCACACCCTTTCCTGTACGATAACTTTTTTATTTAAAAAGCTTTGTTTCATTTGTACAGTTATTTTTAAGGTTTTTTTTAAGTAAAATAACAAGCTTCCGTAGCACTTTGAGTTTAAAACTTTTTTACCTTTTCCACAGAATATTTCTCTCTTCAGTTAACAAAATATTTTTCCTCTGCTCTTACACTTGTTCGTAACATTTTAATTTTCATAATTAGCTTAATAGAATAAAAGGGTGACGTTTTCTGCATGTAATACTACACAATGTTGGGTTTTTTTCCTGAGAGGTAGAAGTATTATGCCACGCTAGCATATAGAGTTAAAGAAAAATCCACTGGCTTCAGTATTCTTGGGATTAAACTTTTAGGTCAAATTTTATATTTGTAAAACTAATTTTTTGTAATTTTATTACGCAGTTTTTGGTAACATATCCGTTTAGAATTGTATGTACCACTTGGATCATTTCTCTGCTAGTAGCCGAAGGAAAACTCCATCTATATTTCAGGTCATTGCACATCATGCAGCTGATGCTAATGTGATTTGTCATTGCAAGAATGTAACTGCCTGCATCTCTCATTGTTCTGAGAACTGTCATATGTCTGTTCAAAAATATCGTTGAACATTAGAAACATAACTGTTTGGCTGTGAAGTAACTAATGCAAACTCCACTGGAATTGGTTGTATTGTATTGAAGTGTGTTTATACCTTTTTATTCATTGCTTCAGCTTCCTTGCTTCATCGTATTCGCTGTTAGAGTTCATTTTGATACTTGCCATAACATGACTTCAAGTCTCAAATGAATTCTTCAGTTGTCAGATGGGTTGCCTATGTAGGGTTCAATTAGATGTGTGAAAGCATTACATAAAACTGCATTGATTTGAAAATTTTTGTTCAAGTGGGAAAATTATAAAGTTGATCTACAAAGACTGGAGATACATATTCTTCCAGTATTACTTCTGCTAATTAGTACAATACATAAAGGTTACATTGCACAAATATTTACCATGAAATTACAATTCACTGTTGTACAAAACTGAGACTATTAAAGATAATTGCTTCATGAAAGTAATTTATGAAATCTGATAAATTGTTCCTTTTTTTCCTTTGCTTTTTGCTTATTCTTTTTTTTCTACTGCTTCCTCTGAAGTCTCCTACCAAATGGTTTTGGAAACTGGTTCCTGTAAGTTTGCGCAACTGCTTCACTTTGATCAACTAGCTTATTTTGGGAATGGCTTTGTCCATGTCATGCTGGTGTAATCATTCATTTCATTTATCCCTACAATATAGTTTTCATAAGAAATTGCTGTTCAAAGGTGCACGTAGTACAGAATCCTCTTTTACAAGGTAATCTGTGCAAAATGAAAGGTATGATGCTGGATTAGGAATTACCTTTTAAACAGGAAAGGTATCTTTGTTTTGTATAAGAGAATGCTATGTCTTCTTAATTCATGTCAAATTATCATTGTTTTTGTAAAACACTTTCTCCTAGGCTTCCAGGAAATATATGGTATTTGATATTGACTCTCTTCTCTTTTTAGAGACTTGTTGAAACTATTTTTGATTGTCAGTGCTACATGGAATCTGAAATTTTTGGACTTTTTGAAAGAATATGCAATCATAATGGCATTTCAATAGGATTCTCTATTTTTTTCCAGCTGGTAACAGCTGCCTAGCATAGCTGTTAATAATTTTATAATATTAATTTAAAAATTTATCCCCACACAAAAATAACTCAAAACGGTAGTCTTTTGCTTTGATTAAAAGTAATAAAAAGTAGCTCTTCAGGTCTGTAAATAATAAAGTTTTTCTCCACGCTGTGCCTCCTTAGGATTATAGTTACTTTCCTCTGTCATGTCGTTACTTGCCCGTAAAATACATTCAGGTTGTTTATTCTACAACAGTTTTTGCAATGTGGATAACATTTTGTCCTGAGCAGACACACACAGTTTGGTTGGGAACAAAATATGCAGTTGTTTGGGTATGTAGAATTGCATACTATTGGTCTGAATTCCATAGAACTATTTCTGATTTTTTCTTTGGTCTAAGGACTACCAACTAACTGATCTAGCAGTCCCTCAGATATTTGTATTTTAACTAGTAAAAGATTGTCCAAACACTGCAAAGAGAATTAAAACTAACAACACAATTGCATGGTTGACTACACGTAGGCAAAACCAGAAATGACCTAATGTCTAAAAAATTATATTAAAAAGTTCTGTCAATCAGTATTCAAATTTATAACAATTTATGCTATATAGACGATTTCTGTAATGATGTTCTTATTACAATTGCCATATATTTCCACACAGATTATACTGTTCTGTACAGTATACCCCTTTAATTTTGTTTCGGAATTAAGATACTTAGCACGATTAAATGGAGGGACTAATGCAAAAGATGAACTGTCCGTGGTCATCACTACACTATAGAAATTCATGCACATTTTCATTTCTTTTATTCTGTTTCTACAAAATAGGGTGCCACTTCAGTTTCAGAATATGTTTTTGTTCTATTTTTGCTTAAAGTATTACTTTGTTAGTGAGTCTCCATTGGCCTGCCTGTTGTCCATAAACAACTTGAACTACTGGTATTTCTGTTAGTTTGAGTTTTCTAGTTTAGTAGAGACACAGGTGAAACCCTAGGGCTCCTGATAAGCATCCTGCTCCTGCAGTGACTGCCGTTGTTCAAACAGTTGGGTCAGTCTCCCGGTCTCTTGGCTTTACATCGCACAAGTGTTGGCTACTGAGATAATCCTGAGCCTATGGGCAGCCGCACAAGTTACTCTGAGGAGGAAATTAGCAGCATGCTACCTGCTATATGGTAAATGCATGTGAGCATTGGTTATGACCCCGGAGTACACCCTCGCACTTAGGGCAGCGTAGGGGGGGTGCTGGTAGAGTTCTTGTTTAGCTGACCTTGTTTATGTGCTGATGTCCTGACCATGCCTAGCCTTGTTCAAGTGGAATAAACTTAAAGCTGCTTCAATAGGATCTTAGGAATAAGATGCCTCTATTAGCACTGATATTTAAATTAGCACTGCAGCACTGTAATAAATTTACAGGTTCTTATGCATTATTGCGTCCGTACTTATTAGCACATATTGGAACTGATTAGAAGAGTTTCTTCAAATGGAAGTTTATTAAAAATTGCCAGTGCAATTACCAGTGTCTTTTATTTTTAAGTATAATTTCATCTTTTCAACCAAATTGAAACATACCTTAATGAACCTAGCATATCAGGTTCTGTAACTTTAATTTTCCTGAAGCAATGTGCTTGGCATACTCTCTAAAATAAATTAAATCCTCTTTCTAGGTCCACTTCAATGATTTGATACAATTTCCAAAGTCTATGGGCACTGTTCATATGGCAGCTTTTAAGGCATCATTAAAGTAGCAATAGGGTTTTTCATAGAATTTACTAGGCAAGACGATTGTATTATCAATTTCAAATACTTCTGAATACTCCATTAATAAGACCTTATTTAAAAGAATATATAAAGTACACAGGACTTGTTGGACCATAATGTTAAAGTCTACCCTCTGTCGTTATTTCATAATCAAATAATAATATTTTGTATACTTAGTTTCAATTGCTTTCATGGGGGAACTACAGGGACATATTAGCAAGATATTTATCACTTTACAGATTTTCATCACAGTGGGTCGTTGGATTGCCATAAAGTAACAAAGGAAAAAACCTGAACTGCAAGCGGAATTGGTCCCTTTCATTAAAGTTAATAGGAAGTATTACTAATATGGGGAAAATATTAATGAGGCATGAAGCACAAACATGTTTTTGTTTGGCGGTGGATCTTTACCATAGCATGCAAAAATGGCATTTTTATTTTTATGTGACATACTTCACATACGCGAATATCAGTACCTTTCAAGTAAGTACTGAAACAAAGGCTAACTCTCAGGTTTTTCAAATATTAATATGGTAAAGCAGAAGTTCCCTGGCCTAAATAAGAGCACTTTATTTTTCTAGAACTGGTGTGTCTGTTACTGCCAGACTAGATTTATGCTTCTTGGGCCAGTTAGAGGATGCTGACATGCACTAATGATAATCCCATCTGTTTCTTAACACCAATCTAGTGATGGTAAATATAGCCTTCGGGGTTAGTCTGTGGTGCCACAGACTTTTTTTTGCCAGCAAAGCTGGCTTGAACAGTTCCCACCCCACCCATAAAACCTCCAGCCCTGCCTACTCCTTTGCTACAGGAGCAAAGGGTAGAGGAGGGAGGTGTTTTAGCTGGATCACTGATTTTACTCACCATGCAGCCGCATCAGCAATTGCCCCAGCCCAACCAAGAGAAAAGGGTAGGAAATAGGAAGTTTGCTCCAGCTTTGCAGTACGTTCCAGTAACATATAGTGTGTAGCTTCCCGTACGACTTAATGTGGTAGCAAAGAGTTTTCAGGGTCCCTGCAGAGAGCCTTCCAATTTGGTGTGTGTATCAAATAAAAATAGTGCAAAATTAACTCAGAAACGTTCTTGGCATCATAACTAGTTCTGTGGAATGAAAAGAAAAGAAACACTTCAGTACTGATTTAAAACAAAAGTCTCGATAAATAATGTTAACAAAGTGAAATCTATGTCATAGCCTTCACCTTCATTTGTTTTCCTAAGAAGCAGTGAAAAGAGATGATAAGAATAATGAATGATGACTTAAGTAAGCCTCCCACCCCCCAAAAAGCATGAAAGTATATACATTGCAGATGTATGCTGTCTTGGTGTTCTGAAATAATGATATCCATACACAGAGTTGCTCTTCAAAATGTTTCCTTTTTATAAGGGGGTTTTTTGTTTGCTTGCCATAGCAGTCTTGACCATTAGTGCTTCTCTATGTTTAAGACTGTTTAGTGTCACACACTAGTAATAAAAATGGAGTTGATCAAATGCAAATTCCCTTGTTTCTGATTCTGGTGTTAGATCAGTTATATGAATGAGATTTTGGGCTAGATTCTCAGGTGTTTTAACTTCACAGAGTCATTTGACCTGTCAGTAAACGGAAGTTATACTAGCTAAGGATTTGTCTTACTGTGTTTACGCACAGATCGTTTTTGATTTTATAATAATGAACGTTGAATGTAAAATAAATGATGAGATGTGATTTAAATTAGCAAGTTATGCAGAGGTTGTCAATTTTTGATAGTTTTGAAGGAATGCCTCAATATTAGCATGTAGGCTTCTTTCCTCTTAGGTTATTATTTACGCCGTTCAAAAAGGGGCAAAATGTAAATTTTTAAGAAATTACCAAAGAATAGTCAGCTCTTTATTGAATATTGCCTTTTTGCTAGTGGAGCACAAAACCTACAGTACAAATCTCTTTCTTGGTATGTTTCAGAGCCTCTATCTCTTTTAATCTCTTTTTTCCTATATTGTAGGCTCGTTACAGGAAGGAGCAAACATTGCTCAAGCAGCTGCCCTGCATTCCGTTGGTAGAAAATCTGCTGAAAGATGGTACAGATGGCTGTGCTTTGGCGGCCCTGATCCACTTCTACTGTCCGGATATCGTTAAACTGGAGGGTATGTCCTTTACGTGTCTTGTAAACAGATGTCTATAAAAGGTGAAATGTCTTTATTTGATATCCATGTAAAAGGGGATGCTAAGATATGATACACAGGAGGTATAATTTGAGTGTGGTGGTGAGGAGTTTAATATTAAACTTTGTGCGTATTTATTTTTGCTTTTAAATAAAAGGAACCAAGATGTCCTTCTATGTTTTGTTTATTTTATGTTACCGTAGTAATATACACGTATAAAGGAATTTTATTATAGGTCTATCTGTGTATTCTCGTCTGGCAGCACATTTACCTTCATGCTATAAAGTGTGAGACCTTCTGGAAAACTCAGATTCTTGAAGCTGCGTAAATGTTTTCTTGTGAATCTGAGCAGTTACAAATGTAAAGCACATTTGTGCTTTACACAAGGATCGCCTCTTGCTGTCACAGGTAGTCTAGTGCTATATAGCTGCACTGCATGGGAAATAGTTGCTCTGTATTCTGGGCTTTTAGTTCACTTGATAGTTAACTATATCATTTAAAGAGAAAACAAAAATACATAGCATAGAACATCTTGGTATCGTGTGGTTCTATATAGCAGCTGGCTGTGATGATGAGCAGCTTCATCTTGTTCTTTTGCACTGTGGCCTGGTTAAAGTCATATCTTCCTCTTGGCAACTGTGAGCCTCATGTACTTGTAAAATGTCTTGGCAGCTAACACCCGTCATTTTCTGCCTATGTTCTGTCTATGATACCTTTGATGTCGTGGGAACACTTGCACAGAAGCATCCTGAGAAATCCAGGAATATGAACAAGGGGATAAAGCTTGCAAAGGACTGAAATCTGAAATTCATGTGCACAGCCACTTTATAGGAAGCTTCCAGCAATTGCAGCTCTGTATTGGAACTGAGGAAGGGAGCTAACAAAAATACATATGCAACCGTGCTTAGAAATGCGATAACAAACAAGAAAAAAAACATGAATCCAAAGTTTTCTGTGGTCTGAAATAGATGATTTCTTCTCATCAAGACGTTAACTTTCAAACTGAGGTTTCCTTTTAGGAGTATAGGACTAGAAAGGAGTTGCTATCTGAGAGAGTCCAGAAATTTCCTATTGTTTAAAATTATATAATGTCCTTCATGAATTTATCATGTTCCGTCTTAAAACTGTCTAGCATTTTGAAGTCTGTACGCTTAGTCAGACCGTTGTAGAGCTGCACTTCTTACATGGTTATAATCTTATTCTTGTTTTCTACCTAAGCATACTTGGAGCCTGTCTACGTGCATTTGTAATTCTTCCAGCCATGCCCTTTGGGTTGAAGATCTTCTAATCTGATGTCTACCTTTTTGATATACTTTCTTCTGTTTTGCCGAGGCTGGCTGAACCAAGCCTTTTCAGGCTCCCCTTCTGAAGTGGATTTCCTTTCTCATTGTTGTCCTCAGTAGTTTTCCTCTGCGACTGTTCCAGTTTTGGTTAATCCTTCTTGAATATGGGTAGTCATAATTGTACACAGAAATCCAGATTTATACAGTACTTCCCTGTCACTACTGGAAATACATTTCCTGATACCTTTCGGCATGGTGGTTACTTTCTTTTTAGCTACATGTTGTTGAAAGCTCATCTTGACATTGGCTAATACACAGTACACTTTCAACTGGTGAACCGCATTAGGATTTCATCAGATCCAAATGCAGGACTTGGCATTTTGTACTGTTAAATTTAATCTCATTTCTGTCAGTTAAGTCAAAGATTTTTTTCCATACTACTTCTACTGTGGGGCTGAGGTGACAGGTTATTGATGAATCCTTCAGTATGGGGATCTTTATCATGCTAGCATCAGAGGAGATTCCTTGTCGGGAGAAATTTGTCTACCCTGGACGCTTTAAAATTGTGATGCAGGGCGCTCTCTTACATTGTTGCTTTAGGAATGAAATATAAAGCTTGTTCTGGAAGTGTATTTATTTTCTTTCTTCAGTTCTTCTTTTTATAAGTGCTGCCTTCTTTCTAGGAAGTCATTACTGCTATTTAATCTTCCAAGAAGTATATATAAAAAGAGAACAGAAGGTTACTTGGGCATAAGTAGTATTCAGAGGGTACTGTGCAACACTCGTCCATTCACTGTTGCCGCTCCATTGTCTTTAAATAGCACTTTCAAACATAGAGAGATAATATGTCAGAGGCTTCTGATCCTTGTAAAAATTCATATCAAACATCTGAATCCACAAAAACAAGTGCATAAGACTCAACTGATGCTTCTTTTATGGGAGGATTCAGAGTTAATAGCATTAAAATGTGCTCTCAGGTCCCTGTGCAGAGAAAGAATTAGTATGTCTGGGGAGTTTTGTGAAAAAGGATCCATTCCCTTCTGTCATTTGAGTATAGAAAATGAAATCAGAAAAATGTCTATTACTGATTAAATAAACTTTTCACTATCTGAAAACATGAGGACTTGGAGCATAACCTCTGTTTTCACAAAAGGCAAAGCAGAGAAAAATCGGAGCGGTTGTCTGTAGTGAAAAACAAAACTCATTTATGTTCAGAAAAATGTCTACTGAAGATGTACAACTATATTAAGATAAAATATAATGTGTTGTCATTTCTTAAGTTTCTGAAATAGAAAAATAAGTCTCCTGCTAAATAAAAAAAAAAATTGAATTGAATTTATCTAGAAATTGCTTAACAATTGTTGTGTGAAAAGCACTTCTTTTCAGATCTGTAACTATACATAATCTGTGCTTCTGTTCTTCCTTTCTAGATATATGTTTGAAAGAGACGATGTCTTTGGCTGACAGCCTATACAATCTACAGTTGATTCAAGAATTTTGCCAGGAATACCTTAACCAGTGTTGCCATTTCAGTCTTGAAGATATGCTCTATGCAGCTTCTTCAATAAAGGTAAAAAAAGAACAACAACAACAAAACCCTACTGTACACAGTGATGTTTTATTTAGCTTTTTCTTGGTCTTCTGCTCTGCGGCTAAGTGAGAAAGAGCATTACATCTGTTGTGGTATAGTATGCAACATAAATTTCAGCTGCGTGTAAGACCGCCTTCTTTTGGCAGTTATGTTAGTCTGATAATTTCAAAGTATTTTAAAAAGAACACTTATGAAAACAGCTATAAAAACTTTGATTTTGTGCAAAATGGTTTCACACCTGATACTCATTTTTTTTATTAATTATTACAGCAAGCATGCAATCTGTAATATTTCTATAAAAATGTAATGGTGATCTCTGTTAGTTTTAATTTATTAAGGCTTTCCAAATGATAGAATTTTAAAGCATTGTTTCTGGAGTTACTGCTTACCCACCTTATTCATTTCTATGTATACAGTGATAATTTTTATATTTTTAACCGTAAAGGTTTTCCACTTTCGTAAATGTGCTATTTTTTAAAGAGACACTGCTTACTTTTTGAGTTTACACGTTTTTTTGGCTTTCCTTAGTAAATGTCATTGAAAAATCATGTTTTTGTGGCTGGAATTTTGTTGGAACAGAAGTAGGTTTTCCAACATATATAGTTGTTTGAGTAAGTAGTTTAGCATTTTTAGTCATTCTAAGATTCTACCCTTTTTAGAAAGAGAAAAAATCATTTTGCTTGTTTTAGCACTTTTGAAGTCTGTGTGGAAAGTCAAAGAGTAATTGAATTATTTCTATCCTAATTGCAGCTCTTATTTTTCATTCTTGTATTTCTTTAAGACTTTTCTCCATATAAAACATTCTTCGTTTGCTTAAAATTCTTGTTGGTCTGCCTTTAGGGAGTGAAATACTATTTTTATGGAGTCAGCATATTCATTGCAGATGGTATGTAATTGGTTTCTAAGTATCTGGGTCACTCCACTGCTTTCTGTGATCTTTACAGCAATCTCACAAGCTGAGTCACAGAAGCCAGAGCCTGAACACAGCTTTGTTGTCTCCTGTAGGGTTGAGCCCAATCCTTTTCAAATAAGTAATGAGCTGCCAGGATGAATAAGGGCAGTAGGATCAGGCCCCTTAAGTCTAGACTACTTAGCTGTTGCTGTTTTGTTTTGTGTATGCAAAATTGTTTAGTGTGTCTGCTTTCAATCAAGTTTTGGTATTTTTAATTTTCAGTCTTTTTAATTTTTTTTTTTAATTACAGTCTTTCTTGTTGTTTAGGCCTGTGCTTTTCCAGTGTACGATCCTACAACCATATTGGGTTATCTTGAGTAGAATTCCTTCACTGCATTTTGATTATTTCTCCCTGCCCACAGGTGTCTAGAATAAGTGGAATTTGTTAGTCTTCAGGTTCATCCATGACAGTTAATAATGCCAGTGTTTCCCAGTAGGTGTGAAATAATACAAACCAGTATCCACTATGAAGCTTTGGTTAAAACACCAGAAGTGACTATATTTAAATATTTTATCAATATCCCAGTACATCAGACTTTACACTTCTAAAATGCGACTCTCATTAATTTTGTTGTTGCTGAACACTGTTTTTAGAGGGCATTTAGAGTTCTTTCAAAGATTTAGAATATTTCTAGAACTGAGAAAGCCCTTTGTGATCATGTTTTTACAAGTCGCTGTGGTATGGATGCCTATTTAGATGGAAATGTTACAAGAAAGGCTGCCAAGTTTTTCTTTTAAACTTTGGCATGGAAACTCAGGCTGGTGCTATAAACGGTGTTCTTTCTGTGTTTAGAAGTAATTTGCTTTCAAAATGAATTCACAGTGAAAGGAGCACTTTCTGAGCTTTCCATTGCGTCTGCTGAGGATAGGTTTTGCTAAATGTATATATTCCCCTATGAATTTTATTGTCATTTCAAAAAAAAAAAAAGTATTACAAATGGATTTTTTAAATGTGGCACATGAAAATCTAGATGGTTAACAGAAATCACCTTTATTTCTTTCTAGAAGATGTATATAATTTTGAGTTTTAGAATTTATAGCAAAATGCTTTCAGGTGTCTGTGTTAATCAGCAAAAATTTCTGTTTATTTTCAGGGTGACTAATGGTACACAATAGGTGGCACTATGCTTTTGTTTAAAATTCTATTAAACTCTGGTATTGGTGACAGAAATAATAAAAAGAACCTGGTGGTATGTTACAGGAAAAAGCCTCAAGGAAAAAATTATGATCGAGTTCTTGGAATGGCAATGCTGTGCTGCCTGGCATGGTCCTAGAAATTACGCTAATACTCTGTCTTCCTACTAGTCTTTGGAAACAAAGGGAGCAGAGCTGCTTTCTCTTACAGTGGTCAAGCAGAGGTGCATACTTCACGTTCTTCACTAAGTACGCTGCATTGTGCTGTTGTGCTCACTCAAGGTAGATTGTAGGTAGCATGTGACAGCACAGAAATTTGGTGCAGGGCTTCACCGAGGTGATTGCTCCCACTTTTGTCTTTTCCCATCAAAAAGCACAGAAACAAAGTCAGGTTAATGTAAAGCTTCTTTTAACAAGCATTGAGAGTATTTGGTGTTGGCTCTGAGATGTTGCAGCAGATAAAACTGTTGCTCTAGTTCTGTTTTAGCACAGAAAAGAAATAGATTTTGTCTGAATTTCTAGATAACTTTAATGTGTCCGAATCAAATGAAGTCAGAAAGAAAATTTGGGTTGCCTCTTATTTGCCCACTTCTCTAAGAAAAATACATTTGTGAAGTTCATCATAAGACATTCACTAAGGTAGGACTATGGATGTTAAAGGAAAAAATATTTGAACACATTCCCTGGATGTTTGAGGCACCACCAGGTGGGCCTAATGGTTTCTTTTTGTTTTACTTCCAGACAGGGAAATAACAAGTAGAGAGAGATGACCAAAAAATAATCACAAGAGTTTCTGACTCCTCCCTGCCTTTTTAACAACAGAAATGGGTGGAAAATCTTGAATTTCTTTTCAGTTGTGCCAAATTGCTTTTTTGCCCTCATCTTCCCTTTTTCCTTCTCCTATATGCAATTTTATCCTAAGGCAGGACTCTTTTAACGTTGTTCTTCACTTGTATCAGGTAGATGACACAGATCTGAAAGAGCTATCTGAAGAGACATCTCGTTGTGTCTTGACTTAGATGTGTTCTGCCTATCCAAAGAGCAAGTTTGTGGAAACAAGAGAACTTGCATAAAGTGAGCGCCTTCACATGGAGCATGAGCTGCCTTGCACATCTGTAGAGACCTCCTTATTGCTTTGGCCTAACAGCTGATTAGCGCTGCAGCGTAATTAGGCAGTATATAATATTAGTGGCTTGAATAAAGGTCTTATAGAACATATAATTCCTGAAAGGATAGCGTAAGGGACATGTACGGCCCCTGAAGAGAGAGGAAGAACACTTCTCGCACGTTGTATTTGTCGTGTGAGATATCTGTTGAAAGCATTACTAAAAGGGGGGAAAAGACATCTTTAGTTCTGTAGTTTATTCTTGAAGCTTTAGATCATTCTCTGCTAGTTTATTATAGTAGGACCGTAGGGCTTGGACCTAGGAACAAGTTATTGTGAGGTAACTATCAAAGGGGTACTGTGAGAGATATCTTGAATCATTTCATGTTTACCGTGGATGGAGAGCTCACATAGGAACTTGGCATTGGATCAGTTGACACACAGTTAATTATTACCTGCTATAAGTGTTCCTGTGTCCAAGCCTTTGGAAAGGTTATTAATGAAAAATAGACTGGACCCATTAGCAGTAGCAGATAACTGTTCCCACATTGCATTCACTTACTGCCTCACACAGTTCACACGCTCACTCGCTCACTCACTCATCGTTGCTGGGTTGGAGCAGCAGCTGGGAGCTGTTGTTCTTCACCTGTATCTTCACCCACCCAGCAGTTGATTCAGAAGTACAGGGTCACGCTGGCACACCTTTTAGGAAGGGGTTTATAGAAGTTTGTCGGGGGTCTCCTGTTTCATCAGGAGTATAAATAATCCTGTAGTCTTTATCTGCATATAGCAACTGGCGATCTCATAAATGTGTACAAGTATCTGAAGGGGGAGTGTCAAGAGGATGAGGCCAGTCTCTTCTCCGTGGTGCCCAGTGACAGGACAAGAGGCAATGGGCAGAAACTGAACCACAGGCAGTTCCATCTGAACCTGAGAAAAAACTTCTTCACTGTGAGGGTGACAGAGCATTGGAACAGGTTGCCCAGAGAGGTGGTGGAGTCTCCTTCGCTGGAGATATTCAAAAGCCGTCTGGATGTGATCCTGGGCAGTATGCTCTAGGTGACCCTGCTTGAGCAGGGAGGTTGGACTAGATGATCTCCAGAGGTCCCTCCCAACCTAAACGATTCTATGATTCTGTGAACTGCTGCCTTCTTGGATGTGGTGGGGGTTACCCAACCCACTGAGGATGCCGGTGTGTGCGCTGGTGGCCTCGTACAGGTTTGGCCGACCCCTGGCATTCTGAGTGTGTCAGTTCTTGTGGATTCACCAGACCACTGGTCTCTGGAGCTGTTCTTGGGAGATTTTTGCATGCTACCTCTCAGCATGTACGTTTCCTCCCTCTGGCCTGCTGATTTCTGGTACCTAGAGAAGATATTCATGCACACGAGCAAAAAAGGGGCTTTTATTCAGGAGAATGAAAGGTTTCTGAAAGTGAACTGAAACAGTCCTGAGAGGTACCTGCTATCACTCATAAAAGAAGGGTGTTCCTCAGACCTAAATGTGGGCAGGATTTTAAATTGCATAGATTCACAGCTAAGCTCATGGAATATGTATCTTATTTTTGCGTTTAGCTGCTAACTAGAGCAGTCAGAGCAAGTATCTGCCTTGTCAAGGCCCAGTAAGCCAAATGAAGAGAGGCTGCAGGGCCAGAACTTCCTTTTTTTTCCCCCTGCAGAATATCTGCTGAATTCAATGGGAAAATATAATATCTAAAAATTTGTTTTATATTCATTGCATGCATGTATTTCGTATGAGCACAGTTGAACTTTCTGATGTAATATTCATGGTGACTTCGCTAACAACATGAGTAAAAGCTATAATTAGCTCTATGTCCTCCTGAGATGTGAAAAATACTGTTCAAATATGTCACATAAATTAGCCCTAGAAATTAACGACTTTGTCCACTAGTGTTGTGCTGCTCCAGTCTCAATGAGAAAACCACTGCAGATCAGGCTGTTAACCCCAGCCTGAATTTGCATTTAAGTCCACGTGACAGTGCATATGGGCTCTTTAAGGACCTGGGAGAGCAGCTGGCTGTGTTTGGCAAGGCAATTAGGTACCTATGATGGGAATTAGTCCAGGGACCTGCTTCCTAGCTAGCTGGTTTTAAACGATTCCAGATCAGGAAGGAAAAGAAAGATTCAACCAGGGAACAGTGCTTTAAGAGAAGACTGCCCCCCCGAGAGGGACCAAATGTTCTGACTCGTTATTTAAAGGGAAGCAGAGTTGTTTTCTTTCACTGGTGTTAATTGCGCAGTTGTCCCACTTCTTTGTTCTGGTGGGAAATAAGACGTACTGGAATTTTCAGCCTGAGTAGTTGTGGCATGCGTTAATCTGCGGCAGGAGGTATGACAGGCTTGGCGTGCGTGGATCATACGCACAATTGTAATTCAGTCTTGTCCAGACAGTGTCAAACACGCCGATTTTCTTCAGTTTTGACACTTCTGCATCTCACAGCATATCAACTTTGGATTTGCTTTTGAGGTAATTTACTTCCTTGGCCTACTGAGTAGAGATTTTAATGTGCATCATGATGTGAATTGTTCAGGGTATTTTTATGATCATTTTGAGAAAATGCCTAAATATGAATATGACTGCACTTCCATTCAAATTTGGGGATTCAAGCTTGATTCTAAATGATTGGTGTTATTTGTATTGTATGTAGTTGCATATTTGTATTATGTAGTTATTATTCTCTAAATGTGCAGATCTAAAACCTGTAAATATTAGAAGAGATGTAATTTATTTTAAGTGGCAAGATTGGGCATACTATTCCTGTATTTTCCCCAAAAGTTCATGATTTGTGTTGATTTAGCTAGTTTAGCTAGTAAGAACTCATCTTGATCCTAAAATTGTGGAGGGAGGAATAGAGATGTTTAAGGAAAAAAATTATCTTTTTCATACAGATTCTTATTAAACAAGCTAGCTCATATATGCCTTTGATACAGAAGCAAGTAATGACGTTAGGTTTTATAGTCAGAAGAGGGAAATCATTTTTTTTTTCAGAAAAGATCTTCCAAAATCTGCTAAAAAATAGGACTTTTATTGTACCATACCAGAAGATAAAATTAGTAAGATAAAATATAACCAGTACTACATCCAACTAATGAACAGCCTGCAAATAGGGTGGAAATATAAAAATCAAAAAAAAAATTAAATTAAAAAAATTAAATCAGAATGTTTAGCAAATGAATGTATATGTGAAGCTGCAAGTCTGCCATCTGCTGCTCAGTATTTTTAACCAGTCTGAACTGTGTTCACAGCTTAGTATATTTTTAAATGCTATTAAAATACTGTTAGGCTTCTGAATAGTTCTGTGTATAAGTGCATATGATAATCATGTCACAAGCTATTAGAAGCTTAGTTGGTATAATCAAGGCAAAATCTCTGGAAATAACATCTAGGTTCTTTCCAGCCCTGTGAGCAGTAGTATTGCTACAGACCCAGAATTAGTTTTTCCAAAAAAATAAGATATTGATCCCTTGTCTTCCCTTTGATGATTATTAGTAACATCCTCTTCTGACTACAAATCACTTGAGAGAAAAGGCATTTTCCAGATTACACTCAAATGTAATCCATGTGCTGTATAAAGAACATCTTTCCCCTGTTTTCTGAGGCTTGGTCTTGCTCCAGAGAAACACAGTATGATATGCAGTCACCAAGCCTGGGTGCTTTTACTTCAGCACTGTTTGTACCTGCTGAAGTCCTCTTTCATTTGAAAGACACTGCTTACCTTGCTTCATGTTTGGGAGCAGTAGCCAGATGTCTGCCTGCGTGAGCCTGAAAAGCCTACTGCTTATAACTAGAGAAATAGAAAGATCAACACCTGTAGCCAGGGTGAGGTTTGTAAAGTTTGTTTTTATATATTTAAATATAAATTGAGTACAAAGGATACATGAAACATCAACCGTACTCCTAAGTTTATTCATAGCCAGTGATGACCAAAGACCTATAAATAGGAAATGGGTGCATTCAGATGCATCACAATCACTTAGGCAAGTAGTGTATTGATTGAGCTGAAACATCTGACTGTGTATCTATTTTACACACAAAACAATTAAAAAAATACCTGAAACTAGGCCTCTAAATCACCATCAAACATCTAAAGTAGCCTGCATTTTAAGCAGGTTGTGCAGCCAACAGTTTCGTTCCTCCAGAATGGTTACAATCTGGTCAAGGTATAAGTATTCGATAGTTGGTACTATGGAACATATGCTTGTGATTGCATTACTGATCCTATTTTCTAAGTAATCAGTAGAGAGGAGAATGGAAACTGGATGAAATACAGAGATATATGCTGAATGCTGTGTAACCCATCTTTTTGCAGTTAAGGCTTATATCTTGGCATAAATCTATCTTTCTTTTTTGTAGAGCAACTACATGGTGTTCATGGCAGAACTGTTCTGGTGGTTTGAAGTGGTGAAGCCGTCGTTTGTACAACCTCGTGTTGTTGGGCATCCCCAAGGTAATTATATTAAAAAAATTTTTTAATATGCATGTGTTTTTAATATGTACGTGTTCAGATTGCCATTGTGTTCACAGTGTACATTTCAGTTAACAGGTTTTGCCTGCATACCACCTCCTCAAAATAGGAGAAACATACTCTTTCCTCATGTTCTTCACATCTCATAAATCATAAGTAGATTTTGTTGTTTATTACAAAAAAATTCATTTGGATTGTTGGGGTATAATCACTTGCAATTTTTCGTAATCTAGAGAAGCCTAGACTCCATTTATGCCTATTCAGCCATTACAAACGTAATAAGGAGCCAAGAACAAAATTTAGCCTGAGGAACTTGTATTGCGGAGAAGAAGATACCAAGAGAAAGGATCGTAAATTTAGGGAAAGTGGGCATATAGTCAGTTGCAGGCTTGCATTTTGCACCTGGATGCAAAGACACAATCTTTTGTCAGAAAATTCTCAAATTGAAAAACCTACCTCTCAGGTAGATGTTGAGATCTGTTAGTAAGTGCAGAGTCATGGTAACTGAAACATTCATACGGTAATGCCATGCCATGACACTCTCTCTGAAATCTGGGAAGATACTTCCATGGTGTGGACTTTTACCCCTTTTTTTTTCCTGTTCACATGCTTTATAACACATAAAGTATCTAATTGAAAACCTTTTAAGCATTTCTGACTAATTTAAGATATTGTTAAACGAATTTAGAATTTGACCAAAATAATACTTTCTAGCTGAAAACTTGATTTAAGGGTTTGGGCAAAAAAAGATTTTCATCAGAAAAATTTCTTTCAAAAAAGATCTTGTACACTTTTAATTTTGTGGCTCTCTTTCAGTATTTTGTTTTATTATTTCTTCCCTTGTCTTCTCTAGTCCTTTTTTCATTCTCTATTCCCTTAATCAGTGACAATGAGGGAACTTTCACTAAGTCAAAGCTGAAGGAAAGTGACTTTTTAAATTAAAAAATAAAACCAGTGAAAATTCTTAAAATCTTTGGAAATGATTACTTTTGGATTATTTCAGACAGCTTTGCTAATGTAGATTTTAACTGAACGCTGAACTATGATAATTTGAGCTTTGTTCTTCCTGACAGCTGAACCTTTAAGAGATACATCTTCTGCTCATAGTTTGAATGCTAACAGAAGACATTACGTGGATGGTCCTTGTGGTTCTGACTTCGTAGCCAGGTAATATCTTAAGAATCATTGGTACTGTTTCACAATCTTCTCTCTTCTGTTCAGAATCAAACACATTTTGATGCCTTTTTGTCATGTTCAAGGATTGAATTACCAAATATAATAACTGGAATTTAGGGAGAGCAGAGCAGAGTTCAGCTACTCCCCACGCTGTCCTGCTGCATGGCAAGCAATCTACAGTTAATGCTCACCACTTGGACAGCACTCTCTTGTCTCACCAGTTTCCAAAACAACACTTACTACTAAGCAGAGAAGTATCAAATGGTCTCTTTGGCCCCCTTAGTTTAAATGTGGAGCTGCTGAGCGCTGTGGTCATGGAAAATACTCGCCCCCATTCAGGATCCCTACTGTAGCCATCCTGAGTCACTCAACATTCAACAAACACAAAGGCAAATAACAAAACATGGGTTTATGTTACTGCAGTATAAAACCTAGGGCTCTTCTAGGCAGATACACAGAAACAAATCAAAAAAATGCCTTTTAAGCTAGTTGTGCTTTATTTTAGCTCCAAGAGGTTCTATTTATTTTATACAACTAAAAATTTGTCAGAATTGTTTTACAGCTTGGCCAGGTAGGGTTGAAGCCTTCTACGGACCTCCCTAGCTGTGTTGCGTTCTCTGATCAAGATATTGATCTGAAGACAAGCTTGTATTTGTATATCCACTTTCTTCTGGGGGATTTCATTGAAACCTCAAACTTCTGTAAAATTTGTTGCATTCTATTAAATGTAATAATGTATCAAGATAACTAGTTTGATTCTTGACATATAAGCATGCTGTAGCAGCACTAAGAATGGCCTGGTACTTAATTTGAATATAAGTTAATTGTTACCCACTGTGTATACAGTTGCTCCTGTAGTCCCTCCTAAATCCCTAGGAGAGTTTTAAACTTCAGGATATCAGTCCTGTAACATAAATTGAACATCTCAATTGAATTTGGAAGGTGCAGGTCTAATAGTTCTGGCTAGAACCAGTTGTGGTTGTAATAGCTGAGCACTAGCCATGTTTTGAGGTCAGGGACCAGCTTTCCTTTAATGACCCAATGTTGTGTAATCTTCAGAATACTTATTTACATAAAGGAATTGAATTTATTGCCACTTGAACTCATTAGCAGAGATTGGTGATCATCAAAACCAGGAGCAAACAATAAATTCACACCTACTTGGGATATGAATGTAGAATCAGAGCTGTAGTCCCTCAAGGATTAGGAGTGTGTCGGAGGCAAATACATCTAAGATTTGCTGACAGCTACAGTGGTAATTTACCAAGAGTGGCTGCCTGAGACTTAAGTGGGTAAAAGTAGCCTGGGAAATACATGGAGGAAATCTCCAGCAATGGGAGAAGGACCAAAACGTGCCTCTGTGACGCTGTTACCCAAGACACAACCTAGCACGCAAACCCACTACCGCTTGCATCCTTGACTCTGGAAACGTAACTTTCAAGCTATCAGATGCGTTCAAATCCAACACCATTCAGAATTTATGACATGTGTTACTGAGTGTTACAGTCTCACAGTGTGCTACCACATTTTAAAAATTTGTTTGGTTTTGCTGTTTGAAATGTTCTTGTCATATAGTAATTTCAAACAGTTACTTAAACGTAGGCATTCAAAGCAGTGAAATGACTGCTTCAGTTCCAAAAAAAAAAAAAAACTTCATGAAATACTAGCACTTGGAGAGTGAAAAGCTGGGGAGAAGAACTACAAAATTTTATTCTAGTTGTAGTGCACCAAGATACCAAAATGGCAGTATGCTGCTCCTGATACTAAGAAACTGTTATCCAGTAAAGAAGTTTAGTTTCTTAACATAATAGAAGAAATTGTTGTCTGAAGAAGCTGTAGTCAAATACGGAGTATGAATTTTTTAGATGGGACGCCGCTGTCCTTTTAAGTTAAAAGTTTGTCCTGTGTATGTGAAACTAAAAGAGTTTTTTTTTTTCTGAATTCATGGTAAAGTTTCCAAAAGTTGTCAACAAAATGAACTAAGATAACTACTGGGTGATGGTCTCAATCTGGCATGATTATATTAACACTTAATATCATGAAGGTCAAATAAGGTAAAATAAATACTTTTGCTATGACGAACTTCCCAACTATTGTAAGTGTCAAGGATCCAGAACAACTGCTTTACTAAGTATGTTTTGCTTTATTTGCATTTTTTGTAAATATATATATATAAAACTATTTTTAGTGTTACTGCTACAGTTTTGGAAGCAGTATAAAATGTCCTATATCGCTGGTGTTTTCCAGCTGATCATACAGCTGATAATAGGCAGAAATTGCATGTTAGGCCTTCTTTAATCTTTCTTTTGACAGGGGAAAGAAGGCCTTCCAGTGACCTGATTGGAGCAAAGTAGATGGAGGGTTAGCATTACATTATAATTTGGGGCCAAAGATTTATTGATTTGTGTATGACCTGACACAGAGGAGAAGGATAAAACGAGCATTTTAACTGGATATCCAGCAAACCCTTTTGTTTGTGAACCCAGCTAATCCTCTTCTATTGTTTTTTAGTAATTAGAAATCTATGCTGACTTTCGAGCAGGGAATAGCGCTTCTTACTGTCATTAAATACTATGAATCTGAATCTCCTTTTCCTTATGTGAGTCTGTAGTGTTTCCTCTGTAGACAATTAAGTTATATTAGTGTAAACTGCAAGGAGAACAAGAAACACACTAGTTTTTGATGTCTCTTTTGAAATGAGGTTCCCAAGGCTATTTGCATCTTGCAAAGCCTTTGCAAGCAGTCACTAAAGGATTTGTAACTGTGGGTATCCCACACAACAAAGAAAATGTTGCAGTAAAGATCACTATTTGTACGTGGCTTCCAACCTGACGTTCCCCTGTTAGAGCCCTTAATGAATAAAACTTTAGTGACTTTTTAGAAGTTCTGTAAAGGTAGTAAATTACACATCCATTATATTTAAAAGCAAAAAAAAAAAAAAACACCCTGAGCTCTGTGCCATACTTATGCAGTAGTAATCACTGTGGCAAAGAATTTCTTTAAATATAAATCAAGTTATTCAATGAATATTGGACAACAACACAAGAGAAGTCAGTCTGTAGCCTTGAATTACTGAAAAGAATTCCCACAGTTGAAGCCATTACCAATGAATTTATCTCTGCTCTGAGAAATGTTGAGTGATATAAAATCTTTTTCATCCAAATAGATTTCGCTTTTATCTAAATGGGTACATTGTATATGCAGATGATTTTGGTCTCTAAACTGAGGAAGAACGGCTTGGAAATTATAAGATAAGCATCTGAATTCCACTCATGCACGCTCACAAAGGCCTTTCCGTTTCTTAGCACTGTTACCCTTCCAGATGTAACCGTCAAGCCTGTAAGCTGCCACAAACATGGTTTGCCATACTGCTTATGTTTCATGCGACGTGTTCAGAACTGTTGTAAAAATCATTGTGAACCCTTTGCACTAGCTCATCACAATGCTTGTTTTAGTGTCTCTGCAAGGGACAGGTACAGTTTTGTGCTGCAGTGCTATGAAAACAATCAGTGAGAAATAGATCTATATTTATCCTCATAAACCAGTGTACTTTGTATGACTTGATAATGCTTCACCGCATGGCATGACAAAGGAGGCCTGAGAGGTTAGCTCAGAGGCTAGAAATCCAGCACAGGGGCTGCAGTCCGAGCGCCCCGGCCGCGGGAGGCCACGGTCCTGGTCTTCCCCTCGTCCTGCCTGCACGGTCCTGCCCCTCCGGTGCCCGGCTGTGCTGCGTCACTGCAGCACACAGACAGAGGAAACCAGCCCTGTCGGAAAAAGTGAGTGCTTTCCCGCTGGCGAAGCATGTTCGGATGACTCAGAGCAGAATCGAATGGAGAGCCAGATCTAGTGCAGAGCAGGGAGTTACAGCCGTTACAAGGTCTTAAGTTGCCATGGAACCGCAGTCGTGGTGCCAAAATTGGTCTTTTCTTGAGTGGAAATGAAATGTATAGATTTTCTTATTTTCACAGGCTGTGGGATGAATTTTGAATGGATGCTTTTCTTGTAAGATAATTGATAAACGTTACAACTGTGATTTAAGAATTTTAGCAGAAATCTCAAATACTATTTAAAATAGATATTCATCTGTGTAGTATTAGTAATACCAAAAAATGAGGAATTTATGAGAAACTTTATTTGAACAATTTTAATAGGTGCTTATGGAAGATGCTTTTGTGCATTTTAAGAAGGTTTCCCTTAAATTGACATAAATATCCTTCCCACAAATACTCTTTAGAAGCAATTCTAGAGTGTACAGGACAGCGTACACTATCAAAGCACTAAACAAGTATTTTGAAGGTTAACGATTACAAAAAAGGGGTTAATAGTGTTTGGGAGTGTGCTCTTCAACTCCGAGAACAAAATTCCAAACATGAAAAGATTTAATCCAGCATGTTTTGAAGTGCGGCTACTTGAAAAGTATTTTTACATGCAAATGCATGTGACCTTATGCATGTATCTTTGTTGTTCTGATCTTGAAGAAGCACCTGGATTAGCTCACTGAATTATGGAAACCTCTTTAGGACTAAAACAGCTAGTCTTTACAGACTTTTTCTTTGAACCAAAAAACCAATATCTGTTGTAAGAAGAAACAGAGCAAACCTTTGTAATTAGTGTTTTAGTAGTGAATATATTTGTTTTATTTACAAAGTCTTCACAGGTCTATCACAAGATCTCCTTTATCTGTTTCCAGTGCATATTGCAGTTCAGACACAAATTAAAAGTTTCGGACTAAGGAATTGAAGAGAGATGCATGAAGAGCTTGTGATATTAGCTACAGTCCCTGAGTTTTGTGGGCCGTAGGAACTAGCTCATTTTGTTCGTATTTATGTTTATTTTGTTGCCAAAATCAAACCTAAAAATGAGAATGTTCCAGTAGTGGCCTTTACATGAAATAAGTGGAGACAAGCGTGTTATCAAAACTCTAACACCACTCCGTGTCCATTTGTGAAAGAGATATCCCTATTTGACTTTTTGTGTCTTTTCATATTGCATCTAGTTAAAGGTAATAACACAGTGCGTGTTTTAGTCAATGAATTAATATTTTATGAAGAGAATTACTCCTCACTCTCATCGCTTTCACAAAAAATAAATTTGTTTTTGTGTTGGCCCAGGATACAAAGTCTGGTTGCCCTTTTGTAATGTGGCTTTTGATGTATTACTTCTAAGTTACGTCTCTTGCGTTATAGATTGGATAGTCCAACTTATGCACCATCCCATCAGCTGCATACACCCCGGCAGCCTTATTCATCTGCTCCAGGTAATACTTGCAAATGGGTGGAAGGGGAAATGAGACAAGGTATTTTCTTCTGAGTCAATATTTATATTGCTAATATTTCTTCAAACATTATTCATGCAGAAATCACTGGGAGAGCCATTCATGAAGGCCAAAGAATGAGTTCTGTAACTTAGAAAATGTACAAATGTGAAATTTGTGTTTGTATCTCTGATATTGTATACATTTTTTTTTAATTTTGTTTTGATTGTGAGGAACATAGCTTACAACAATTATTTGTAGTATAACATATATTTATTCAGTAGTGAATTCTTTGAGGGAGGATGGATATAATATATGTACAGGATGAAATTCATTGATTCAGTTGCACAACTTTTATTCTCAATATAAAAGTAGTGAGTTAAAATTAAACTTATTTGTCATTGCAGTGTTCTAAATAATGACACAAACTAATGTATTAAACCAATAGAAGATTATGCTAAAATGTTCTTTGATGTCAGTTACCTTGGGTTCTATTTTAATTTCACTTAGGAGTCATCAGAAGGTCCTCATCAATGTCTTACGTGGATGGGTATGTAGGAACATGGCCCAAAGAGAAAAGGTAGGTAGTCCTACCATAAGAGTTGGTTAAAAAATAATTATGTGCTGGTCAAAAACAGTAATAAACTCGGCACTCTTTGGATTTTCAGAATCCTGTAACATGAGTTCTTGTAAGCAACTAGGAAAATGAAGCAGAGAAAGAAAGGGAAAACTGTATCATGGATTAAAAACTCAGTAGTACAGAACAAACTTTAGAAATAAATGATTGTGTTTTTTACACTGAAATGAGATGTTTTTGCTCTAGATATCTGAATAGTTGGTGTTAAATAAGCTCACGTTTAAACATCAAAATAAACTAAAAGTGATACGAGTCATTGTGCTAATGAGCTCAGTATGATTAAAACTATTATTTTGTGGATAATAAGATGAACTCAGTGTGATTCAAATTGGATTATTTTGTGGATGATAAGAACAGTCAGGTTAGATTTGTTTTTCAGTTAGACCAGTCACAAACTCTTAAACTGTTGGATGGAAACTAAATTTAAATTGGTAAGAGTTACAGTGATGCGTTATTCAGTAAATGCAAATTGTGTGCCTTTTCTCGCGTTCCTTCTGATCTAGGATGGCAATTCCTACATTCCTAAAGTATCTTGAGTTTATCTCAAAGTAATAAAAAAACATTGGCTGGCTCTAAAGAAAATGTTGTTATAGTCTATTTAATTGTGCATTTTAGTCTATTGCATTTGCCTATGCAGCTAGTCAAAATATAGTACACGCAACATTTCATTTAATGTTACAATTTAAATTTGTTTTTAAATTGTGAATATTTTATTATTAATCTTGAGTTTCTTAGTTATTTTCTTTATTCTAATCTCAATTAGGTCATCATTACATGGAGTTTCATTTGATATTTCTTTTGACAAAGAAAAAAGCATTCCAGTATCTACTCCAAACACAGGAATTACTAGATCCGTGAGCAATGAAGGCCTTACACTAAGTATCAACCGCATGCCGAAACATATTAGAAAAAATCTGTCCTTCAAGCCAGTTAACGGAGAAGAGGAAAACCAAGATATTGAAGAAGAAAAGGATGTGATAGCTCATAAAGACACAAAGGCCATCACTGCAAATCAAAGAAATGCCAATGAGAGCAGCAACTACAGGTTTCCGAACGGAGCTCTGCAAAACAGGACAGTTCTGGATGATTTTGGCAATCAGATTGAGACACCAAGCATTGAAGAGGCTTTGCAGATAATTCATGACACTCAAAAATCTCCCAGAGTTATCCAGCAAGACCAAATTACAAATGGTTTTTTTCTTCACAATCAGGAAATGAGCATCTTAAATTCAAATATTAAACCAAATCAGTCTACCCCTGATATAGTTACAGATACGAAAGGTGCTCTGAGCCCTGTGACTGACAATACAGAAGTAGATACTGGAATACATGTTCCGTCAGAAGATATTCCAGAGACGATGGATGAAGATTCTTCTTTGAGAGATTATACTGTAAGCATGGACTCTGACATGGAAGAACCATCTAAATTTCTTCAGGATTATGACATACGAGGTAGCAATCACCGAGATCAATTAAGTCCTTGTCCCAGCTCAGTAAGTACCAAATCACAGGCAGGCAGCAGTGCTTCTTCCAGCTCAGGGGTTAAAATGACTAGCTTTGCAGAGCAGAAATTCAGGAAGCTGAATCACACAGACAGTAGGAGCAGTGGAAGCAGTTCGCAGAAAACCACACCAGAAGGGTCCGAGCTGAATATTCCTCATGTGGTGGCTTGGGCTCATATTCCCGAGGAGACACCTGTTCCTCACGGAAGAGACACTACACAGTTACTGGCTTCTGAAATGGTACATCTTAGGATGAAGTTGGAAGAAAAGAGGCGAGCCATTGAAGCACAGAAGAAGAAAGTTGAAGCTGCCTTCACTAAGCAGCGGCAGAAAATGGGAAGAACGGCATTTCTTAATGTTGTGAAAAAGAAAGGCGATGGAGCATCACCTCTCCGAGAAGAAGCAGCAGGAGCTGAAGATGAGAAGGTGTTCACTGATAGCAATCGACTGAAGGAAAAAGAAAGTCAAAAAACAGATGAACAAAGTAGTAAGACTTCAGAAGTAATAAAAGAAAACCCTGAAAGTGCTCACAACAGATGGTTAAAGTCTCCTGCTACTCCTCTGGATGCTGAAAAGCAATGGAATTTAGCAAGCCCCTCAGAAGAAAATTTTAATGAAGGAGACATCTTAGAGTATACAAAATCCATTGAAAAATAAAAT